TGAATACCGCACATAAGGTAAGTAGTTTCAAATTGCATTACCCTAAATATTTCCCACCATATTCGTTGTCCCCAATCGCACAATCAGATTTGGTCAATTTGCACACGAATGTCAAGATTAGAGTTAACGTCAAGGTTTTGTATGTGTCACGGACGTGTAAAACACAATTGTGTTAGGACGAGAAAATCAGTTTTGAGTTTTTCATTATTAATAAACCAAATAGTTTCATATACACTAATAGTTTGAGATCTATATGGACCTCAGTGTGAGTTCAGTGTCCCAAATAAAATATTAAAAATTGTCTTGTGCTTAGGTTAGATAAACACTTATACAATAAAAATTCCATTTATCCCTCACAACTCATTTATATTAGGCTCATAAACTCAATTAAGGGGTGTAAACATGTGGGATTGAATAGATTAGTCTTCGGCCTAAATAGTTGTAGTTTATGTAGAATATTTTTAGTCTGTCTTATCCAATTAATTTGATATAAACTAAATTATAGGATTGACCTTACTTATTTTAAAAGATTAAAAGCCTAACCTAGGTTTATTAACTTATTTAAATATATCAGACCTTCAAGATTTATTAAGTATTAAAAAAGTAATTAAAATATTTTTTTATTCAAAATTATTTAAATAATAATTTTATTATATTTTAAATAAGGGATTTATTAATCTCATGCACTAGGAGAGAACTTTCTCATGCAATAGAAATAATCATGTGAGAGACTCACTCACTATAAAAAAAATAAAAAATAAAAAAATAACACAAAAATCGATATATGTGTAGGAGAGAAAAATTTTCTCCTACAATATAAGAGTATATTTTTCCTCTAAATAATATGATATGAATTTACATGTAAATTTATAGGTCAAATCTCATAAAGGTAAGACTATGACCTCTTTTTTAAATAATTATTTTCAAACTTGAAACTATTACTTAATTATTTAAGCACGTAAATTGAGTCGTAGATCGCTCTAGACTTTCTGGCCTATTTAGAGCCTGTTTGGTTCACCTTTTAAAAAAATTGACTTTTATCTCTTCTTTATTTTAAAAGTGTTTTTTACAAAAGTTAACGCTATTTATATTTTTATAAAAATATTTAGTTTTTAAAAAAAATATTTGGCTTTTGACTTCTGCCTTTTGTAGAAGTTAAAAATTTTATTCTGAAAAAAGTAGATTTTTGACTTTTTTTGTAACTTCTGTTTTTTTAAAAGTAGACATCCAAGCGAACTAAAAATGAGAAGTGCTTTTATTTTAGAAAAAAAGCAGCTTTTGAAGAAAAAAAAAGCTCATCCAAACGGCCCTTGTACTCTTAAACCGAACTCACACAAGCTCAAACTAAGATCGAGTGTGAGTTATGAAAATGAGCTCGCGTTCGGCTTGAATTGAACAGTGAACTAAGTAAATTTTATTCGGAATTTAGCATGAACTGAACAATTAATCAAACTCATTTCAACCAAATGTCTAGTTTAGTCACATAAAAAAGGCGACGACGTAGACAGAACATGCATGCGAATAATCACGTACTGCAAGACGACATATTAATTTATTGTCCTGTGTTTCTGTCTTGTATTAAACATGAAAATAATTTTCAAGGGTTGACGCATAGATATAATCGTATGAAACAAACACGAAAGCCCGACATGTAGTGTGGGTCTGATATTTAGGGCAGGGTATCTGAATTATCATGTTTCATGCCATACAAAAAAAATTTGATTGAATTCTCACATGTTTGATGTCATATAATTTTTTATTTTATTTTTTTTATGATTCATGGGCAGATTAATCATCAAAAATTTAATTATTACTTTTTTAAAATGAAAAAAATAATAATCATTTCAATGATCTATCGGATAAATGATTAGATTTTTAAGGCGACGTAATAATGTTGAATGAGAGAGGATTCATTCTCTCTAACTCTCTCTGAGTATGACGAGGACAAGGCAAATGTACGTAATTTTCCTTTTTTTTCTTTTATTATTATTATTATTAGGGGAAAGATCCTTTTATAATTTTTTTTTACAAATTACATAAAGTATGACCGGTTATACACTCTTAATTAAAATATAACCGATCATACTTAATGTAGTTTGTAAGAATTTGTAAACAAAAAAGATGTAAATATAAGATTCCACTTGTTATTATTTGGTTTCTAGATAGATAGGAATAACGTCGAGGACACTCTTGTTTCCTTTTCTTTCTTTTTAGCTAGTTTTTCTGAGAAGGTCAAGGGTAGCTATTTCTGTGAGTCTTTAACTTTACAACACGGATATGGACCCATTCGAAGCCCAATTTCAATGAAAGTTAGGCTAACTTAGCTATCCCCTGAAGCATGATAACGATACAGACCGATTTGTAAGAGACATTGCCGTTAGTGGCACATATGGCAATGACTCAAAAACAACTAAAGGTTGGTGACCCAAAAACAAAATCTATACCAAAATATGCTAAGGCCCACAATATCCACTATCGATTTTGGCACGGTTCCTTATGTCATAGATCAATAATATCACTTATCAACTTTTTCTTTTATTAGAGAGTGATCTAACAAGGGAGCCAATTGAACTTGACCGTACGGAATTTCTCTGGTCATTTATGCTTAAATTATTTTCTTTAGAGCAATCAAGGAAACAATTTTTAACAACCTCAAAATCTGTTCATGACATTTGCTCTAAGAGCATTTATTTTTATTTTACAAAAAAAACCAAGAAGTTTTTCGAAAAATATATATGTAAAGAACCACTTCAAAATAAAGGAAAATTAAGCTCCTTCGGTTCAAGGGTCATACCTCCATCATGCCTTTAATTTTAATAAGTTTTGTAATTAAATCCCACCACTTATCCTGTGCCTTTTCCATAAAAAACGTTACGCATGTTTGCAAATCAAATGAATCAATTCCCTGAATGTTCAACTTCATTTAATAATGCTTTTAATCTTCTCAAAGTAAGCATAAAACTTTAAAACATTCATAAACTGAAAATAATAAATAAAACGATGCCAATCATCTTTATCTCAGTCCAATTACGCTAAACAAAAAAATAATAATCCAACACAGACCAACCATTCATTCATATAATATAAGGATGTTAATTCTCATTATGTGACAAGTTCAAGTGTATATTAACTCTGCAAATATTTTACCAGGATTTTTTTTGTTAATGACATTCTTAGAAAGAGAGAAGCCCTAAGTGACTGGTATGAACCTCAAGGTCACCACCCCAAAAACTAGCTCAAAGAGTAGGAGTGTCTAAGCCCTAAGCCCTTATAAATTCCACATTAGTTGGTAACCCTTTCCTTTTTGGCTCCTTTACTCACTTATTAGTATTCAGTAGAACACCCCTTTGGGAGGTATGACACCTTAATCTAGTCTATAGGTAGGCCTTTACGTGGCCTCAACTTTCAATGAAAACACCAAGTGTTACGAACATTAAGATCACCACCCCAAAAGTCAGCTCAAAGGGTGAGAGTGCTCAAAACTCTCAATGAAAACACCAATTGCTACGAACATTGAGGTCACCACCCCAAAAGTCAGCTCAAAGGGTGAGAGTGCCCAAGCCTTATTAATCTCACATTAAATGTTTATACAACCAATGTGGGACTTGTAACACTTGTAACAGTGACTCAAATTACAAAACTTCTCAACTAATTATTTGAATTTTCTTCACTATCGAAGTATAATATTAATTCAGAGTTCAATATAATTACTAAATTTGTACGCAGTATAGTATTCCCAAACTATAAACGCTCAATCTTCAGGACAATTCCAATAACCTCCAAAATATCTGAAGTACTAATTAATTAACTATGATAAACTATAAAGTAAACTTAAATGACAATCAATAGACTTAAGTACGATAATTAGGCTTCCCCAACTGTGCAATTAATCCTACTCCATCTTATTTCATTTCTTCCCTACTCGGGACAAGTTTCAAACCATGTATATGCATTTGATTTAAAAAATGATACACACTCCCTATTTGATGGTAATGATCACAAAGAAGCTGAGGGTATAATTTTTTTTTTGCTGTTTCACCATTAAACTTACAAATAATAGTATAGGAATTTCATTACACTGAATTATGTATGATTGCATTTCAGTCACCATAATACATCCCCTAAGTTTTTTCTTCTTAATTTGGTACATTAATTAACTCTTAAGTGATTTATAAAAAAAAAAAAAAAACCACTCTCCGTTAAACCCGACTAGCGAGTGGGGTGGAGGTAATCCTTGTACGCAGCCTTACCCTTGCATAATTGCAAAGAGACTGTTTCCTGGATTCGAACCCATGACTTTTCAGTCATGAAAGAGCAGCTTTACCATTGCTCCGGTGCACCTCCTTTTTCTTAAGTGATTTATATTACAAGAAAATTATTATTCAAATAAATCTAAAAAAACGTGACTTCTTTTAAATTGAAAAATCTTAAATGAATAAATTCTCAGTTAGGAATATGTGAATCAAGAAATATGAAGCTGACATTCCCAAATTATGAAATCAAAACATCGTATGTAAATTATGGATGAACATTTTCAACATATAATGTAACAGAAACATATATAAGAATTTCATTTTTGGGCCAACCTTTTCTTCAAGTTCCGGCAGTCACAAGTGAGCTTCAAGCAGCCTCGGAAACCCTAGATGTACATAGCTTGAAGGCAACCCTGATTACATGTAAATTAGAATGCATCATAATCAAGCAATCATACGTACCTCAAATTTTCAGCTTAACATAGCACACAAAGCTTCCCATAGAATAAGATGAGACACACACACACACATATATATATATATATATATATATATATATATATATATCTTCAATTGCTTGCCAAAGATAGTACACACCAGCACAGCACTAACTTGAATTATTCATATTAATACTCTCTCTCTCTCTTTATATATATGATCTTTTCCTTCCACACTATTAGATTTAGATGAATTGCACCCAAAACAGTGAGATATATATAACTTCGAAAAAAGCTAGTCACCACTTTCTTAAAAATCAAAGAAGAAAGGATCATTATAATCCCATAAACTAGAAGGGTATTCCTCCTCAGCTGATAACGGCCACACAGACGACGGAGATCCAAGTCCTGCCGCCGCCGCACCACCTAACTGAGCCTCCGGTGCAGATAAAATTAACGAAGAAGACAAGCTTGACCCTACTGATCCCACCAAAGAGTTCATATCTTCGTACATGCAATTCTGGTTCTGGTAGTGTTCATTTAACAACTGATTATTATTCTCTACAAGATTATCATGATGATGATGATAAGAGGTGATTTCTCTGTTGGATCCGGTATGAGCAACACTTCCATCAGATTCTGGTGATTGATACTTTTGTTGCACTTGCACCACTTGTTGAGGATGATGATGATAGTGAGTACTGTGATGTAGCATGTTGTTGTTATTATTAGGGCACATCACCGGTGGTATATTATTACACACGCCGCCAGGGTAAACACCGTATGTGGCGGAGTTCAAGACAAGCGGTACATGAGAACTGGTGGAGAAGGTGAAGCCGAAGCCAGAAGGACGAGGAAGAAGTGGTCGAAGGGTTTGTGAAGAAGAGGAAGAGTTACGAGAAGAGGAAGATTGTGAAGAAGATGAAGAAGAAGAGGAAGGAGGAGGAGGAGGAGGAGAGGGTTGAAGGTTGAGCTGAGCCCTAGAACCATAGAGGATGATGGCGGCGCGGTCGTAGGCTCTGGCGGCGTCCTCGGCGGTGGAGAAAGTTCCAAGCCACTTGCGTGTTCGCTTGCGAGGCTCTCGGATCTCAGCAACCCACTTGCCCCAGCTTCGTTGCCTCACACCGCGGTATCTAAATTTGTTGTTGTCAGGGCCACCTTTGGCTTTGCATTTGTTGCGGTTAGTTGTTGTTGTGAAGGGAGTGGTGGTGGTAGCGGTGGTGGCGGTGGGTTTGGTTTCTTGGGGTAGTGGGGATATTGATGATGATGAGTTTTCGTCCATTGATTGGTGTGTGTGCAGTGCGAGCTTTAAAAGAAGAGAGGGTTTTAGTTATGACTACTACTGAAGAGAAAGATGGAGACCACTCTGGCTAGCTGCTACCTCGTTCAGTGTTATTATTGTTGATTAGTCCAAAGAGACTGCTCTTTCTCTTTCGTATGATGTTGCTGTTAATTGTTTCGTTCTCTCTCTTTATCTCAATGGTGAAATAGGTCGGTGCTAAGGGGATTGCTGTGTAGTGAAGAAACTGATAAGCATAAATGCACTGGGAATTTGGAATCATTCATCGGTTTTGTTGATTTTCTCCTTTTTTCACATTTCAAACCACAACAAGACTGGTTTCATTTTTTAGATTAATTATTAAATTAAGACTTGTTTAATATGAGTTTAATTATGATTAGTGAGTTTAAATAAATATCTAGCTAGATTCATTTCACCAACTTTTCAATATAGATCCATAAGTTTCTAATCATCGATATTAATTAGATGCTTGGAATGTTTAATTATCAAATAAGTTTATGGGTTTAAAGTATCTCTATGAGATAACTTATATCAAATAAGCACAAAATGAAGTTGTTTTGAGATTAAATAAGATGTATTTTTATAATTTTAATTTATTTTACAATTATATTAAACTTTATTATTAATTTTTTTTAATTTTCTAACTCTAAATAATGCTTTTTTTTGGACTTATTAGAGAGAACTTTTTCTCAGTTACTAGAAAAACATTAAACCCTAAGTTTATTCCATATATTAGTTAGTAATCACATTATTTACTATTCTTTTTTAATATATTTTTTATTATGGATTAAATTTCATGTAAATCTCACTAAATAATTTAAAATTTAAGGAAACTTATATAAAAGTTATTCAAAAATAAAATGTAAAAAATAAAATGTGAAATAATATATTTAATTTACACCTATTAAGCGACCATTGGAAGTTGATTTATTTTTAAAGGTAAATTTACCCCTATGTTGGAGAATTTTGTTTTCTCTTCTTATGGGAATTATATAACGATTAAATAAATTGTCAAATCTTGTTTGGATGCTGAAAAAATAACCGACGAAAAGAAAATCTTCAACGTTAATGCTGGAAGTTTTAACGGAAGGAATGGTGCTATAGTGCGGTAGCCACTTCCACTTAGAGTTCATACAGGAGAGTTGGCTCAGAGTCACTCTGGATGGACGATACATTATTACACTGATGACCCTCAATTATTTGCACAGAAGTCGTATGAGGGAACGTTTGGATTCCTATGCTCATAGTTCCAATTACCTAGGTAAGTTTTTAAATTCTATATCTCCATTTAGATGATGAGTTTAGAGGCATTTGGTACAGAAGAAATTCTCATCTGTTTGAGAATCTCAATTTTTTAAAATATAATTTTTACATTCAGTTTATGATAATATTCAAAAATTAAAAATTTAGAAAAATTCAGTTTGCCAACGCCCCCTTGATGTAAGTTTGCAAAAAAAAATTGTGAATGGTAATGAATGCGGATGAATGATAGTAAAAGAAAAAAAAAATATTGAAATAAATAATTAATAAATTATAATCATTGATTCACTTTTGTATAATTATGATCAATCACATAATCATGTAATTTTTTTTTTTATATTAAAGTATCCATTTTCAAGTTTAATAGTGTTTTTTTTAGTTTACCAAATTGTAATTACGTCTTTGAAATGAACTAGCTTTCATTATAGAATTAATTTGTAATGCAGAGCGAGTCACTGACGAAAGATATTACTAGCAATTCAGCTGTACCATCATTTGATCTTACTCATTTTTTTTGCAGTTACTCATTTTTCTTACTAGCAATTCAGCTGTACCATCATTTGATGTTGAATTTAACAGTGTGAATCCTGCTTTTGAGTCACTAACGAATCTCGCTTTCTCATGCTCTAACAGTGACTCTTCCATTTTGTCAAAGACCCAAATCGCCACGTAAGTTTGGCCTTAATGTGAACATTTGGTTATACGTTGTCGTTCACTAGGACATTGCTTGTTACTGTTGACTGCTCAATGTAAGTTTGCAAACGTGGTAGTTGGGGATCGGAAATATGAAAAACTCCAAAGCAATGACTGTTTCATTTTTCCGTTTTTTTATATTTGTTTGGCTTCTTATCTGTGTTTATTAATAAAAGTATACGTTTTTTTCTTTTTTATTTTGCCAATAAAATTTCACAAAAGGAAATTTCATCTGTTGGTGAACTTTATCCGCTTGTACATTGGCGTACGTGACTCTTGCAGGAAAATCAATGAATGAGAAAAACTAAAATGGTATATTTAAATAGTCAGTGTGGATAATATGATACATATTTTTTTTTGTAAATAATTACGAATTGTAGATTAGTTGGTAAATTGGGTTTCATAATATTTACGAAATTCAAAATTAATCCAAAGCACTTTGTAATTGACTTAAACTTCACACAAAAATTCGGATAAGTCTTACGTGGAGCTGTCTTGTAACAAAAATATTTCTATCATAAAGGACGACCGAGTAAATTCCCAATTTTTTTTAAATATTAGAGCATTATCACGTTAGTATATTAAAAAAACTTTTATCAACAAATTCTATAATATCTTGAATATTAATATATCACTATATATATCTTTCATTTAATTTTTTTTTTCTAAATTAATCATTCCAAAATATAACATATTAACTAAATTCTTTCTTCTGTCTCACTATTTTAATTATTTATATGAAAAAGTTTAGTGATAATTTTTTAATTGAGATAAAAATTTGATAAAAAAGTTCCTGAAAGTATTAATGTAATGACACTTTTTTTTTTTTTGGAGTTACCCAACCCTAATTATCTCTTTGAGACGAGTTGGCTCCCTCCGGTATCTCCACGAGCTTCGACTCTTTGAGCCGGCTATGAGACTAATACGGAGTGCGAGGGAACAATGATGGCTAAAGGTTCAGCCCCCTCCCCAAGAATGCATTCAGCGGGAATCGAACACATATCCAACCCCACTAACTCAGCGCCAAGTTACCAACTGAGCTGCACCCAATACCCATGGGGTATGTAATGACACTCTAACTTAGTGATAATATGGAGACTCTTATTTTCCAAGTGTAAATTGAGAATTTAGTATAAAAGATTTTATCAATTAATATATTTGTTAGTTGTTAAATTATTATGGGGTGTTAACGGGTCGAACTTTGGTCTTAAAAGGCTAAACCTCTATTTAAATATATCAGTCTGTCCTAGCCTGTTACTTGTTATGAATATAATTATCGGCTTGTGAACTGATTTATTTACAAAAAATAAAAGCCTAGTTCAGCATGTTAAAAAAAAATAAGATAACAAAAATTTATCTAAATAAAATATACGATCAACAACACTAATAATTCCACTAAGATTCATAAATTCAATGTATATTCAAATAATATAATATAGAACAAAATTATTCAAATAGTTTGTTTAACAAATAAAATGAGGTGAAATGAGTTGAGGAAAGAGAGAGCTATTATAAGTAGTATAAAAAATATAAAATAGAAATAAAAGTTAATATACTACACCAGTTTGAGAGACTCTGATGCCGAACTTTTGAATTGGAGATTGAAGCCTTTTTATTAAATGAGTTTTTATACAAATTTAAATTTAATTCTAACAACCAATTTTAGACATATAAACTGAGATCTTTAGGAGCCGAGTCAAAGAAGTGACTCAACGCTCAAAATATTTCAATTGAGTATCAACAAAAATATTGTTAATGTTCAGCAATGTAAAACAGTAACAGAGAGCTGAAGAAAGATGTGGGAAGGACGCATTTCATAGAAGGAAAATATACGGTAAGAGACAAAAAAAAGGTTCACATTGTTTTTGAGCAGATTGCATGTGTAGATGTCAGTGCAGCAGCCCCTTGCCTTGGAGGAATTCTTTACTCCTTCTAGATAGGGAACATTTTTTTTTTCTCTTCATTAAAGATCAAAATCATTTATTTGTTAAGGTTCCATTACTTTCACATGTTCTAACATTATTTTAATGGCATAAATTTCCCCCCAAAAAAAGAAGGATGACGCAAAGAATTTTCCCCTTAAATAAATTTCTCACACAACTATTAAGTTATTATATAAGTTCATTTTGGAATCCGATAAAATTTGTATAATAAATATGTTATCATTCTATATTATTTTATACATAATTTAAAAATGAATATAAAACACAAGTCTGAAGAGAGAGAAAGAGAGAGTGCATGTCTGAAAAGATGCTCTCAACGATGGAGAAGTGGGAACCTTTGCCTTTTCATGCTGTGTCCTCCACTTTGGGCTGAAAAGCATCGATCGGCTTGGGTTTATAAAGTTGGAGACTTGGAGGTAATTAAACAATTCTTTATTACTTCCAATTTGATGTTGTTCTTGTTTGCATCCATTGTATGCCTCCTTAATTTCATTCTATAACATTATTGTCATGGCCCTTTAATGGTTTGCCTAATAATACATTGAACTCAAGTTTGTTCAACATCTTGAATTTCTGTATATGAAAAAGGATGGTACTGTCATATATATGGTGGATTTTATCCAAATATATTTATGTATATTAGTTGCAAGTTTTGAGTTTTGCACTCTTTCACAGAAAACAGAATCTTACAATTCTAGAATAATACAATGCAATTTATTGTACATGAGTGATGGGTATAGAAACAAATAGATGGTATTTGTAATGTGTTGATGTTTCCAATTGTGAGCTTTGATCGATGGGGAATAGAAGATAAAAAAAGTCTTTACAAGCAAATTTTTTATGCAAGTATTACAAATTTATTTTAAGTTGAAATAGTTAGCTTCTAAAATTAATTACAATATGCTTCAGTGTTTAACATATTTTATGTTAAATTACAGAAGGCCTTAGGTTTAACATTTCAAGTCATTATTTTTAAAAATAAATATTTTATTTGTTTTATAATATTTGTCTTTTATAAAATTTATTTTATTTCAATCTCCCTGTTGTTTTAACAAATCATGAAAATATTAATTGTTTTTTTTTAAC